ACCCTTCCTTTGCGTCCACTGCTAAGTCTGCCCTAGTTGCTGAGCTCGTCGACTTTGCTGCTCGCTGTCGTCTAGACTACGCTGCTTGTCTTGTCGCTGAGTCTGAGTCTGTCTGTCCTCCGTCCGTCGGGGGTGAGTGTGCCCTTGGCACGGACGTCCTTGAGGACAGGCAGGAGGAGTTCCAGTGTTTGGCTGCTGCTTCACCTCATCTCGTGTCCGTACTGCTTACCCCTGAGGGAGACCCGGATGCACTTGACATCCCGACTCCGCGCTCTTAGAGGGTCCCTACTCCTCTCAGTGGCAGGCAGCTATGGACACAGAGATGGCTTCCTGGAAGTCCACAGGTACCTACGTTGACGAGGTTCCCCCGCCTGGGGCGAACATCGTCAGTGGCATGTGGATTTTCAGGGTGAAGCGGCCGCCGGGTTCTCCGCCTGTCTTCAAGGCGCGTTACGTGGCTCGTGGCTTCAGTCAGCGGCAGGGAGTTGACTACTTTCAGACCTTCTCTCCCACCCCGAAGATGACCACTCTTCGGGTACTGCTGCACATAGCTGCTCACCGCGACTACGAGCTGCACTCTCTTGACTTCAGCACTGCTTTCTTGCAGGGCAGCCTGCACGAGGAGATCTGGCTGCGTCGCCCACCTGGCTTCACTGGGTCTTTTCCTCCTGGCACCCAGTGGAGCCTCCGGCGGCCAGTCTACGGTCTCCGCCAGGCACCGCGTGAGTGGCACGACACACTGAGGACTACACTTGCGGCTCTTGGGTTTGCTCCCTCTACTGCCGACCCGTCGCTGTTTCTGCGCACCGACACTTCTTTGCCGCCGTTCTACATCCTCGTGTACGTCGACGACTTGGTCTTTGCCACAGCTGACACTGCTGGACTAGCCCACGTGAAGTCCGAGCTGCAGAAGAGACACACGTGCACAGACCTGGGTGAACTGCGCAGCTACCTTGGCTTGCAGATCACTCGGGACAGAGCACGCCGCACCATTACCCTGACTCAGTCACACATGGTGCAGCAGGTCCTTCAGCGCTTCGGCTTCACGTACTCCTCGCCTCAGGCCACTCCTCTGCCTACTCGCCACTCGCTCTCAGCTCTGCCTTCGGATGAGTCCGTAGAGTCGAGTGGCCCGTACCCAGAGCTTGTTGGCTGCCTCATGTACCTGATGAACTGCACATGACCTGACCTCGCATACCCTCTTAGCATTCTCGCACGCTATGTTGCTCCTGGGAGACACAGACCGGAGCACATGGCTGCAGCGAAGAGGGTGTTGCGTTACTTGTGCAGTACGTCGGGCATGGGGCTTGTGCTTGGAGGGCAGAGTCCAGTGGTCCTCACTGGGCACGCAGACGCTTCTTGGGCTGACGACCAGGCTACGCAGCGGTCATCACAGGGTTACACCTTCAGCCTTGGTTCCGGCTCTGTTTCGTGGCGGGCTACCCGCTCGTCTTCTGTTCTCGGCTCCAGTTGTGAGGCTGAGATCTACGCCGAGGCCATGGCTGCACAGGAGCTTCGCTGGCTCACCTACCTGCTGACTGACCTCGGAGAGCCGCCTCGTTCTCCTCCAGTGCTGTACGTAGACAACAAGGCCATGCTGGCCTTGTGTCGAGAGCAGAGACTGGAGCACAGAACGAAGCACATTGCTCTCCGCTACTTCCTTGCTCGTGAGCTACAGCAGCGTGGTCAGCTGCGGCTTGCGTACGTGGCCTCTCAGGCCAACACTGCTGATATCTTCACCAAGGCACTTGCGCCTTGTGATCATCAGCGCTTCTGTACTCAGCTGGGTCTTGTGCCCACCTTGCCTCACTTGCTCACCCCTTGACCTTGTTTGTACTGTTGCATATATATATACACCTGCTCTTGCTTGTCTAGCCTTATATATATATGTAATCCTGCATGTGAACTGGCCTTGTGGCCTTGAACTTGTGCTCGGAATGTGTGGTGACTTTGTGATCCACCCTGAGCTTGCTTTGCTTTACTTGACTGGTCTTGTGACCCCTTGTTCTCCCCCACTTTGCCTATGGGGGTGTGTCAGATTTATATGACATAGCTACTGTAGGCTATAGTGGGGTAGCACATATGGGGTACAGTTTTCTAGGGTTTACATTTGTACCCAACTTTCCCTTAGTCAATTCATTCCTCGTTTCTTCTCAGCGGACGCTCGGACGAGCCGGGCGAGTTGTTGACGGCGGCAGACGAGGATGAAGGCTTGGCAAAGCTCAAGGTCGCCTGCTTGAGCCTGATGGTTCGCGCCGTTGTCTCAGTGGGATGGTGCGATGCCGAAGCGACATTTGGTTCCGCAGCTGTCTCTGCCACAGGGTCGGGATCAGAGATGACGGGTGCTGAAGGTTCCTTATGGGAGTGGATAGAATCGGGCTCGGCGCGTGCTGCTTTCTCGAGTTCTAGATGACTGAGCAAAAAATCTAAGCCTGTTAACGCAGGCTGTGAATCAGGGCCGTCGTCATCGCAGGGTGCGGGATTGTCGGGCTGAGCCATGGCGGGGATCTGAGAGAGCCTGCCGAGCAGGAACGAGAGGACAAAGAGGCTACTGAACTGGGCACTGGATGGGCCCACTGAGTAGAAGCTGAGCTGAGAGGTGTGGATGAAACCCTAGCTCGTAGAGGAAGGCCCTATAACACACTATGGGCCATCCATGAGTTGGGTGGGTGGTGGTTGCCTAGCATGCACGGCAACGACGAGGCGCGTCTGCCGTGCAATGCTGTGAGGCATGTTTCGTGTGTGGATGTTGCAGCATCGTGGTACACGATGCTGCCTAAAGGACCAATCAAATGCTATGGGTGTGTGCCAACAGGTCTTGTTGGCACCGTCTGCTTGCCATCACCTTTACGTGGGTGGCAACTGCTGCAGCATCTTGTACAGGGGTGGTGGTGGAGTTCGTGATGGCAGACAAAAGCTGCTAAACGCACCAATCAGTGCTCAGGGAGGGTGTGAGCTGGAGCTCACACCGAGGGAAACAACGCGTCGTAGGGCGGGTGAAACATCCAGCTGTACGAGGGAAACATCGGGCCGCAGGGCGGCGGTACAGGTACAATGTATGTACCACCACTAATCCTGGGTGCCGGCGCGCAGGTAGATTCAATCAGAGTCGGAACTCGTTTGTACTCTGAATTCATCAGAGTACACTCTCGAAAAAGTCTGAAATGTCAGAGTCAGCTTATAAAAAAATCTGATTTTCACAGAGTTGAGGCAATAAAAAATCTGAATTTCACAGAGTACACCCTAAAAAAAATCTGAAATCTCAGACTTTTACAAGCAAATCAGACAAAAAACTCTGATTTCTGGGGGCCTGCCCCTACCCTACACCTACACCCCATCTTGTTGCTGTTGCACGCGGAAACTGAAAGTGTAACCCTGTGACGACCGTTGAGTCTCCTGGTCGTCTGCCCAAGAAGCGTTTGAGTGCACAGTGAGGACAACTGGACCCTGTCCTCCAAGCACAAGCCCCATGCATGATGTACTGCACAAGTACCACAGGTCCATCTGTGCAGCCCGGTAGTACTCAGGGGGGTGCTTCTCGGGCGCAACGAAGCGCGCCAGGATGCTGAGGGTGTACGCGAGGTCAGGTCGAGTGCAGGTCATCAGGTACATGAGGCAACCCACAAGCTCTAGATATGGATCGCTCGGCTCTACAGAATCGTCCGAAGGTGGAGCTGAGAGCGAGTGGCTCATAGGCAAAGGAGTGGTATGTGGCGAGGAGAACAGAAAACGGAAGCGCTGAAGGACATGCTGCACCATGTGTGTCTGAATCAGAGTGATGGTGCGCCTTGCTCTGTCCCGGGTAATCTGCAAACCAAGATAGCTGCGCAGCTCACCCATGTTAGCGCAAGTGTGTCTCTTCTACAGCTCCGCCTTCACAAGGGCCAGTGCCTCAGTGCCAGCAGTAATAAAGACCAAGTCGTCGACGTACACGAGGATGTAGTACGGCGGCAGAGAAGGGTCGGTGCGCAGAAACAACGACGGGTCAGCAGTCGAAGGAGCAAACCCAAGAGCCGCTAGTGGCACCCTCAGTGTGTCGTGCCACTTGCGAGGCACCTGGCGGAGACCGTAGACTGGCCACCGGAGGCTCCACTGGGTACTCTCAGGAAATGACCCAGTAAAGACAGGTGGGCGGCGTATCCAGATCTCCTCGTGAAGGCTGCCCTGCAGGAAGGTTGTGGAGAAGTCGAGCGAGTGGAGCTCATAGTCACGCTGTGCTGCAACGTGCAGTAACACTTGAAGAGTGGTCGTTTTTGGGGTGGGAAAAGGTTCTGGAAGAAGTCGACTCCCTGGCGCTGACTGGATCATCGTGCAATGTAACGCGAGTTGAAGACAGGCGGAGAACCCGCGGCCGCTTCACCCTAAAAATCCACATTCCTTCGACTATGTTCACCCCAAGAGGGGGGACTGCGTCGACATAGGTGCCTGTGAACTTCCAAGATGCCATCTCTGTGTCCATGGCTGTCTCCCACTGAGAGGAGTAAGGACCCGTAATCGCCTCTGCATAAGAGCGCGGGGTCGGGATGTCTAGTGCATCCGGGTCTCCCTCAGGGGCAAGCAGCATGGCAGCGAGATGAGGTACAGCAGCCGCTAGATACTCGAGCTCAAATTGCATGTCCTTAAGGACGTCACTGCCAAGGGCAAGCTCACCCTCGATGGACGGAGTACAGTCAGACTCAGACTTAGAAACAAGACTAGCGACGTAGTCAAGACGACACGCAGCAGCAAAGTCAACGAGCTCAGTGACTAAGGCAGACAGAGCAGTAGAGGTCAAATGTGACAAGTGTGGCCGGAACATGGGTGACAGGAGGACTAGCAGCACGAGCAAGGACAGACCCAGGGTCAGGGACGTCAGGAAGAGATGACGCAAGAGGAGACGGCAGGACAGGACGCTGTGCAACAGAGGAAGGACGAAGTGGCATGGTGTGCATGTCGGGGACACAAGGAGGGCGACCACGGCGAGCACGAGAACAGGCGAGGTAGCAGGATGCTCGGGGCGCATGGGGCAGCAGGGCACAAAGTACGCCGGGCAGCAGTGCGCACGGGACGCGCGGGGCAGCAGGGCGCGTGGGGCGTGCAATGCAGCAGGACGCGCGGGGCGCGCGGGGCAGGAGGGCGCACGATGCGCGGGGGTGGGGCAAGGCGCGCGGCGCGCGCGAAGCAGCAGGGCGCGCGGGGCGCGGGGCAGCAGGGCGCACGGGGCGCGCAGGGCAGCAGGGCGCACGGGGTGCGCGGGGCAGCAGCCCAGTAGGGCACGTGAGGCGCTTAGGAGCAAGGTGCGCAAGGCGCGTGGGGCAGCAGGGCGCGCGGGGCGCGGGGCAGCAGGGCGCATGGGGCGTGCTGGACAGCAAGACATGCAGCCCAGTAGGACACGCGGAGCGCGTGGGGCACGAGGGTACACGAGCGCGGGGGAGCAAGGCATGCGGGGCGCGCAGGGCAAGAGGGAGCGCGGGGCAGCAGGGCGCGCGGGGAGCGCTGGGCAGCAGGGCGCGCATGGCAGCAGGGCGTGCGGGGCGCGTGGGGCGCGCGGCGCAAGAGGGCGCGCGGGCCGCGGGGGAGCAGGGCACGCCGGGCGCGCAGGGCAGCAGGGCGCATGGGGCGCAGGGCAGCAGGGCGCGCAGGGCGCGGGGCAGCAGGGCGCGCAGGGCAGCAAGACAAGCGAGGCGCGCGGGGTAGGAGTGCGCGCGGGGCAACAGGGCGCGTGGGGCGCGGGGCAGCAGGGCGCGCGGGGCGCGGGGCAGCAAGGCGTACGATAGCGCGCGGGGCAGGGCAGGGTAGCGCGACGAAGTAGTGCGACATCGCGCGAGCTGGGCAAGGCAGGGCAGTGCATGTCTGGAAAAAAAACAAAAACAAACAAACAAACAAAAACAGAAACAAAAACAACGGTCCGACATTGGGACCTGCTCTGAAACCATCTCAGAATGTAGAACAGCGGAATGATCGACTAACAGCAATGCGGAGTACAAGAATTAACCCTAATGGGTTGTATCCTCTATGGGATACCCCACTACAGCCTAGACAAAAAAAAAAAAAAAAAAAAAACAACAACAACAACAACAACAACAACAACAACAACAACAACAACAACAACAACAACAAAAAACACACACATATAGTTCGACCCCAGAACTTCCAAAGTTACCAGAACCTCCAGTACCTCTAGCTCCAGAACCTCTAGCTCCCAAATTAAGGGCTGATGCGTCAGAGGGTGCAGCGCACTCGTAGAGCCTACAGCAGTTGTACCCTCGACTCCACCACTACTAGGACGCAGAGCACCCCCCTAAGACAGTACCCTCAGGGTCAGCACCCCTAAAGTCAGCACCCTCAGAGTCAGCAACCCCAGAACTAGCACCCCCAACGCCCACACCTCCAGAGTCACCACCCCTAGGACCAGCATCCCCAAAGTCCGCACCTCAAGAGTCACCATCCCCAGGACCAGCACCCCCAGAGCCTGCACCTCCAACGTCACCACCCCCAACAGCACTGGAGTCCGCAGTGACACGCTGCAGAGGCGGCAAAGACGGGCGATGGAAAACCAGGAGGAGTCTCCAAGCGTGGTGGCCCCTCGTTTCCTCCCTCGCTCCCCTCCCTCCCTCCCTCTCTCCCTCCCTCCCCCCCTGCTTCACTCCACGTCTTCTCTCCTTGCAACCCTTCCTTCCCACCCTGGCAGCGCACACGCCAGTGTACCCTCCTTCCGCCCTGCCCGTGTATCTTCCTTTCCACCCTAGCGACGCACATGGCAGTGACGAGTCCGTTATCGTCACAATCAATGAACTGCGCCTTGTCACAGTCGCCCCCCACCCGCCACTCGCCCGCCGACAAGCCCCATGCTGCAGCGCACTTCGCCAGCACCCGTGCTGCCAGAGAGGCAGAGGAGATAAGGGGCAGGAGGGGAGAGAGGGGGGGAAGGGGAAGGAGGGGAGAGAGAGGGGGAAGGGGCAGGAGGGGAGAGAGGGGGGAAGGGGGTGGGTGGTTGCAGGGAGTAGAGGAGAGGGAAGGAAGGGGGAGGCAAGAAGAAAACAGGATGGAGGAAGAGGTGGGGGAAGGGAAGAAGGGGCGAAGGGATGGGGAGGAAGGGGAGGAGGAAGGGATGGGAGTTGGAAGCGATGCGGAAGGGAGGGGAGGGGGAAGGGATGGAGAAGGGAGGGGAGGGAGGGGAGGGGGAACGGATGAAGAAGGGAGGGGAGGGAGGGGCGGGGGAAGGGATGGGGGAGGAAGTAGAGGGGGCTGAGCTGGGAGGTGAACGTGCACTTGCATGTTCATTGGTGTGTGGACGGAAAGAGGAATTGCAGTGAGGAAGCATTTTAGCGAGGGCTTTAAGTGAATTAGTATACATTCGTCCAGGTGGGAACTGTGGTGTGGGGCATGATAGGGAGGAGGGAGAGAAGAGGGGGGGAAGAGAGCAGCAGGGGAGGTTGGGGAGTGGGAGGAACAAGAGGGAGAAAGGAAGAGGGCTCAAACTGGAGGGAGAGGAGGCAAATCAGCGGCGAGGGAGGAGACTGTGGATGGGGTACAGTGAAAAGGAGAGGAGGGCGACTTGGGTAGAGTGGGGGAAGTGGGGAGAGTGGAAGGTGAGGAGAGGTGCAGGTAGGAGGAGGAGGAGCGAGCGACCTTGGGCGTTGTTGATGCGAGTGGCGGTAGTAGGGCACGGCGGCAGCAGAAGCAGCCATGCCAGCAGCAGCAGCGGCAGGCGGAGGTGCAGCAGCGGCAGAGGGAAGGAGAAGCTGCGCCAGTCTCGGTCGCCCATGACTCTCCCGGCGGAAAGAAAGGAGGGCAAGACGTGCGAAGCTGAGCAATGACTCGAGGAGTGGTGAGGGTGAAGTTCTCGTGCAGACGGCTGCTGATGCAGCGGCCACTATGAAGTCACGGCCTCGGTTGTGTCACTTTGAAAATTCTCGAACCTGCTGTCACGCAAGGAAGCTCTTTTCGAGACAAGGGCGTTTTTCCAGATCTGCTTTTCTCTTACGTTTTTTCACTGTTATTCCTGCTGCTTAGGCGTTTCTTTCTAATGCTGCCCTTCTAACTATGAGCTTAGACGCCTGGGAAAGGCTGAGCCTTCGTTTCCAAGATTTGCACTCCCAATCGAAACTTGACAAACGCCTTGGCTGACACATAATCATCACAACTAGAGAGATTTTCAGCGTCTTGAAACTTGACTCGACTTGGAGGTCGTCAGGTTTCGAGATACTTGGACCTGCAACGCCTGACTGCCGTATATTGATCTTATCTTGGGGGACGACGGAAGTGGCGGAGCACGAAATGGTGGGACTGTCGCAAGGCTTGTACGAGCGTGTTTGTTTCCAAAGCGAGGACAGAGCGCGAACAGCAGCCTCCACTGCCGCAGTGGTTGACAAAGTCTGGCTCCCCAACAAGGAGGGGGCCTCGCGTGTGCGCGTAGAGCCGGGGGCGCACTTAGATGACTCGGCGCGGCCCGACGTCGGCCGACGACGATGACCAGTGCGGTCATCGTCGGACGACGGTGCGACAGTGCCGGGCGACGCTGCTCGACGACGACCCATCATGGGATGAGCCTTGACTTGCCAAGTTGACACTGCAGACAAAGCCCATATGAGAAGCATGACGGTGGTGCCTACGAGAGTCGTGTGGAAAATGGTTACTGTAGTCGATGAGCAGCAAGTGTCATTCTGCTGCCGCGGTAGTGCGTGTGACGCGGCTAGAGCTCCTCCTCGCTCGCAACTTCGCGTGACGCCTCGGCAGCCAACACTGTCGAGCCATGATGACCATGGCAGCCGTGTAATCCAGCTCGGCACCTCTATCGTTTTGCCTTTTCTTTCATGTGCGCAGGTGCAGTTTTAGTCGTCTCCTTTCCCGCTCAGCGCCGAAGCACACGAGCGAACAAACGACCATTGTGCAACCGTCCCTTTCCTATTATCAACCCCCAAATTGCCATTGTAATACAACAATGTTTTTTAGCATTTCTTTAGGGTGAAACTAAACCATTAAGTTTCTTTCACCTTCCCTCGAGCAACACAATTCGGCCAGGTAGTCGTTGCTGTTACGATATGAAATTCAATGAGAAGGCATTCCTGCATGCTGCAGGAGCCGACTCTACCGAGTACGAAGTCGAGGAGTCAGAAGAGTCGAAGCGACACCAGCAACCGTCTGACCAAGACCGATGCAGGCAGAAACATTTGAAATGAAAGGAGCGGGAACGGGTTTGAAACGGGTTCCCGCGCCGCACGGTTTGAATTCGCTGTAATAAGGGAATGTACCCCTTAGAGTACGTGGTTAGTCTCGGTCGTTTCGCATTCCTTTGTGTTTCCTATATAAACTCGATATATGCATGCTATTATCATCTCAGTCATTTACATTCACTCTGACCTGAGGTCAACACTTCCGCTGCAACACTATCTGCGATCAACCCTGAGGCGATCCTTCGCTAAGTCCCATTTGGGATTGTAACATGGTATGAGAGCTACTTAGGAATTCTTCGCAACTTCACTCCCATGAAATTCGCCGAACCAAGATATGGCGAGCGGGCACACCCTCCAAGACCAAGATGGCCGGAGGATCCGGAGGCCACAGCAATCTGGCGGCCGAAGGACAAACCAACCAGGCTGCGACAAATGAGGCGACAACCACGATAAGCACAGCTGCACTCGAGCAACTGTTTTCGCGACTATCGACTATGGAGAAAGATCTCCAAGCATTGTGGAATGGCGACGCGGGAACCTCTTCCCAACCAGCACAACCTGGTCAACCGGCTGCAAAAAGCCGCAATATGGCCCCACACACCTTCTCCCTCGACACAACGACAACTGCCCCCCGTCCAAATGATGAAGTCATCAACTCTGCGCAAGCACGCTTTCTGAGCGTTTCAAAAATCAAGACTACCGCCGCGTTTGACGGCAAAGATTTCTATAAATGGAGTTTTGAGCTAGAGCTCCTCCTACAAACAGCGCAGATCTACCACTATCTCGACGACTCCTACGCTAAACTGGTGGAAAACACTGAAGACGCCCGAGTCCCTCATGGCGTACAGTGTGCTGCTACGCAATATGACGCCTGCGGAACAACTCGGCATCCACTCCTACAAAGAGAGTGCCGCTCCAGCCTTGGAAGCCTGGAAGCACCTCGTTGACGTATATCAGCCGAAGGTGTCAAGAAGTACAGCAGTAGAAAGTTAGAAACAGAAAGAGCGGTTTCACTAGCAGCAGTTGGGAGGGCCGCCAGAGGGGGCCGCTAGAGGGTGGGGGGGCAGCGAGGGTGCTAGATGGGGCAGAAGCGAGGGACCTAACCTTCTCGTGATACCATATTAGAGCTTGAATTGAATGATGCATGATGGCAGTCAAGCATCCATAAAGGGTATGTATAACACCTCATACCCTCTATAACCCACAATAGCCTAGTTAGTACACATTCAAATGTACGGTACATGTGTCATTGACAATTTTCCCCGTCGGCACTAGGCCGGAAGAGCATCCCCACCACCATTTCGGAGATTTCCGCTACCAATTGGTTTCATCCGGTAACATTCACACATGTTGTTCCCTAAACCCTGATAGTGCAATATTCTCTCCCTCACTCAATCGCACCCACACAAGTGCTACACCATGTCAAATGTTATTATAGGTTCTTAGGCTACAGTGAGTAGCACTCTAGGGAGTACAACCCTTTTTAGGGTTGAGTACTTGTATCCCATCTTGCTAGTCCCAAACCATTCCGTTGCATTATATTTCTGAGATGGTATCACGAGTAGGTATAGAGTCCTTGCCTAGCCTAGCCTAGCTCGCGTCCTCGAGCCCTCCGCACCCTAGCGCGCCTCCGCGCCTTACGCGCCCTCCGTCACCCGCCCTAGCGCCCTCCGTCACGCGTCCTAGCGCCCTCCGCGCCCTAGCGCCCTGCGTCACGCGCCCTAGCGCCCTCCGCGCCCTAGTGCCCTCCGTCACGCGCCCTAGCGCCCTCCGCGCCCTAGCGCCCTCCGTCACGCGCCCTAACGCCCTCCGCGCCTTACGCGCCCTCCGTCACGCGCCCTAGCGCCCTCCGCGCCCTAGCGC